CCCCAAAACCCCAAAACCCCAAAACCCCAAAACCCCAAAACCCCACACCTTTGCAAATAAATTGGAATAAAGATTAAATAATAATAATAAAATGGAAAGTGAAGATCAAGTTGTTCAAGGAAAATATGGTGAGAAGATCAGGTAATTTCAGCCAAGTTTTGAGATATTTTTAAAATTTAAGTTAAAATTTAAAGACTCGAAGTACCTTGAGAAACTTAGGATGCATTTATAACTTTTAGACAATAATTTTACTTATTTGTAAATAATAGATTGCCAAAGTGACAAGGGAACTCTTTGATGTCCATAATCCCTCAGTATCATCATACAATAATTTCTTCTTCCCAAAGATTCACTAATTTTAATATTAGTACTCAGATTTTGCACTCTGCCAATAAAACCTGTTTAAAGTATCCTGACGTTAAAATAAAATTTCAGACCCAAAATAAATTGGCACTCTTACTTTGCTATGGAACTCTTGTTTTTAACTCTATTGTTCTTCTTTCGACTAAAAATTATGATTATATTTCATCTTTATGCAGACTTATCTAAATATTTTCTTAAATTATTTCAAAATTCTGACATAAATCGGACTGTTGAGTTTATCCCTAATTTCACAGTCTAGAGAAGTGTGTCCTGGTGGAAAGTAACAAGCAAGGATATCAGAGGTGCTGCTGTATTTACTACAACTTACTTTCATGTGAAATCAAAGCAAAACTGCCCGATCCAGAATCTGATGGAAGCTGAGTAGGCCACTGAATTGGAATAAAATTTGAAGATCCTCAATATACGAAATTTATAAAAAAGATAAAGTTTCTAAAGTTCTTTAGTGTAAATAAGTTCAGATTGAATTTTGGCGATATGCGAAATTAAGCATATTGTAAATCTAATAGACTACTCATTCCCTAATAAAACTAATGAGATATATGCTTCTTCCTCAACTGAAAATAAGATGAATAGAGTCATTTACTTCAACTCATTGATCAGAATAAGTTCAAAAGTTACCCGAGAAGTGACTTTCAATTGTTTCTGTTTTAGCTTTCCCCAACTGAAGAGGTTTGTGGCAGCTTACATCCATGTGAAAAATCTGAACCTTTGGTATTGCAAGCTATCCATTCCAACGGTTATTGATTTCTCAAAGGCTCTTCAAAATTGTCAAATTCAGGTAATAAATTTATTAGGCACAGGAAGCTACTCTTGCAACAATTGGAGAGATAATTTTGACGAGTTCAACAACATGATTCAAAGCTTTTCAACATCTTCAGATTTAAGGAAGAGTCTCAGGAGAGTGTACATTCGGAATTGCTTAATAAGTCAAAATGAAGCAGAGGAAATCTTTGCTGAAAATAAACTTGGAGGAGTAGAAATAATTGGTGGATCTTAAATAAAAAAAAATTAGTTTTATCTGATCAAACCCAAAAGCATTCCAAAACTTTAATATTGAATCTCTTTGAAACTTATTTGGGCGACTTATTAATCTGGCTTTTACCATTGAAAACTTAGAAATTATGCTAAAACAATATATCTGAAGTAAAGTTTTTAAGTGATTAAGCTGAGAGTTGCTGATCGACGAAGAGGATCACTACACTTAACAATACCAGTCCATAGCATTTCATATTTATTGAGTTTATATATTGTTCAATACTTTTCGCTCGTCTGGGGTTTTGGGGTTTTGGGGTTTTGGGGTTTTGGGGTTTTGGGG